AGATATAAATCATAATCAAATCCAGGAGGAACCAGAGTGGCGGTGGTATAACCACTTTGGTGTGTACACACTGTGGGTTTGGAGGGATTTATAAAGGTGCAGCTACTGCAGGAATTTTATACAGAAAGGGTTTACTTTCCTAAAGCTCCTCTTTGCTCTGTCTGGCCATTCATGCCTTTGATATGCCTCTGGAAACGTGGCTTCTTCTAACTGCATGGATAGTATCTGTCTTCCCAGAATGCCATGCCATTGGAACCACTGTATGAAGCTGTTAGGAAATAATTAGCATACACTGCTTTAAAAGCTACAATTTGTTATGAAATATAACTTAGATGTAATGGCTAGTAAGAAGTTAACAGGAAACTTCTTTTGATACATTGTGGGAAATGGGACAGACAATATAACCTTTGATTTCTTGGGAGATATTGGCATAGCAATTTAAGCTAGCGACGGGGTTTTGAAGGACATTTCTATCCCAGTGAGGGGGAAACCGGGGGTGCGATACAGACTCTGACTGTAAATTCTGAGAAACTTACTGATTTCCTCTGGAAGAGAGATTGAAGATGGGGCCTTAAACTCTTGGTACAAATTCAGGAGAGATAGATAGATAGATAGATAGATAGATAGATAGATAGATAGATAGATAGATAGATAGATAGATAGATAGACAGACAGACAGATTGATAGAGAGGATAGAAATAGAGATAGGTGGATGATAGAGATAGATATAGGTATAGAGATAGATATGATAAATAGAAATAGATAAAGATAGGTAGATGATAAAGATAGATAGGTAGATGATAAAGATAGGTAGATGATAAAGACAGATAGATATAGATAGGTATAGATATGATAGAAATAGAGATAGGTATATGGTAGAGATATAGAGACAGATGATAGAAATAGATAAAGACAGAGAGGGAGAGAGGGAGAGAGAGAGAGGGAGAGAGAGAGAGAGAGAGAGAGAGAACGAGAACACAGGTCCATGATCCCATGCATGTGCATGCAGAGGCCAGAGGAGAAACAGTGGTATCCTCTTTTTTGTTTTCTGCCTTGTTGCCATGAGACAGGGGATCGCTGAAGCAGAAACTCACTGTTTCTATTGACTGGGTGGTCAGAGAACTCGCAGTGTCCATCACCCATCTCTGTCCCCTAATGTGATGCTGGTTATGAGGCATCCGTGGTCACACCCAGCTTTTGTACTGGAGGCTGGGATTTGATCTCAGGTCCTCCTGCTTGTGTGCCATGTGCTGTCACACACTAAGCCATCCGTCAGCCCCAGAGATTGCCCATTAAAAAAAGTTGGAGTGTGTAATCAACTGTACATCTTTGAAGTAAAGACAGACGGAAGAAAGCTGAAATGAGTATTATTGTTACTATTGTATGTTTTAATAAATGCAGCCACGGAATCTGCTGTCCCCAAGGGTTTCAGCAGTTGCTATTCACTTGGTCACAGTTGACATTTACATCTAAAGCCAGTGTTTTTGTGGTGGTTGTTGTTGGTTTTGTTTTCTGTTCTTAGGCGCTTTTCCAGTTCACACTGCCCTCAACCTATGGATAGTGTTTGTGATCACCAGACTCTAACTTGGTCAGCTCTTTCCATCTTGGGGGCTGAAGACACATGCTGTTTACCCACAGTAGATGTCTTTCCTTCTGGCACCTCATCTTCAAGATTTCTCATGGCCCCACTAGTCACAATGAAATCATTTAACCAGCTCTATAACCCTGCTAATGTCAGTCTCGGAAGGAGAACTCAGAGCGCTACTTTCCTGCTGTATAAATTACCATTGGTCATTTTGTCTTCTCCACACCTCCCTCTGCCTCTGTGAGAGAAGACTTAGAGATGATGGTTTGGTCTTGTGGGCCTCAAGAATATACCACAGAGGTTCAGCTGTGTATTAAAGCTGAACTTTGACCGGCCAAGGGTGTGTCAAAAGGCAAAGCCATTTATTATGAATATTTGGTGTTAACCAGCCTTTAATATTTCAGCTGTCTCCTGCTATGAAATCCTTGTGTGCCCAGACCTATTGGTAAACAGTTCAGCTCCTCAGACCTGCTGAACCTACTAAGTTACTAATTGCCCTGCTGAGCTTAGGAGACAAGCTGGAGGGGAGACACCTAGCTTTGTTTCCTGTGCTAATGAAGCTCAGACCATCCCTTTACCTTAAGGAGGCCTAGTGGTTCTCCAGAGCACTTTGAGAACAAAAGATGTTTTTACATAGCAAGGTGAGAGATAAAACAACAATCCTGAGGAGGCAGGGAAGAGGTGCCCAGGGAAAGAAAGGGCAGGCATTTTCTGTAGACACAGACAGAACCCATGGCAAGAGAGAAGAGAGGATGGCAGCGTCCCATAGAGGGTAAGCAGATCTCCGGTAGAGTTTTCTGAATGCCAGGAGTAGAGAGTAGCAGAGACGGAGAAAGAGGATACAGAGGACGGAGGTGAGGCTGAAAGCATGAGAGTTAGTCCTTAGTAGGACTATGAGCCGGGGAGCTGGACGGAACTGCAGTTACAGAGACAGGATTTCATCCCAGAGAAATAAAGTAGATGGATATAGAGCTTGGTATGTCTAGAGTTGTTCCTGCCTTGAATGCCTGGTGGAGCTACATCTGAATTGATAGAATTTTGTCTTAGAGGAATAAAGTTAACAGACATAAGAGCATAGTGTACGTAGATTTTTCCTCTAATATCCCATGCTGGACATAGCAGAGCCCCCTTGAGCCCTGGGGAATCGATAGTCTGGAAGGATTCTAGGTTTTCTGAAAGTTGCTAGTTACATCCCAGGCATCCAGGCAATACAATTAGTGTCTTCCAACAGCGTATGTTCTCCACAAAGATGTCACTGGTGGACTTGTGGAGATGTCCTGGAGTTGTCTGAACAAGTTCTTGTTTGCTTGTTTATTTGCTGTATGTTTAGTGTCTACAATCTGCAGTGCTGTGTGGTTCTGTCAAGCTCTGAAGGCAGCAGAGTGTAAACTATTACTCACCCCTGTCAGTAATAATTAATCCACTGAAAAGACAGCTCTTAGACATAGCAGGAATTTAATACATTTAATAAATGTGTTCAATTCTAATATTTGAGCTACTGTCAATAAAGAGAACTTTAGCCATTTAAGTGTCTCATTCTGGCCTTATACTTAAGCAAGTCTATAATCCCGAATTTGACATACGACTTTCAGAATTGCACAATTGGCCAAAGTCAGAGCATGGGCCTCCATTCCATGTGACCAGGAGCTGTGTGTTTGAGTAACTGGAAGCCTTGTTTGTGTGTAGAGGCCAAAACGGAGCTGAGTTTAGAGTGGCCAGGGAACTACAGGCCTCATGTGTCTGGGAGCAGTGAAGCCTTGTAACCTAAGTTTGTCCTGAATCCAGTGGGAAGGGCCAGGAAAACAAAACTTATAGAGGAGATGAGGGCGGGCAGCAAGGCAGCATGGGAAAGCGAGCTGTCAGTCATTGCCGGTGTGATGTGTTTGGTATTTGCCATTTGATCCTCCAGAGACTCATCTTACTGAATCAGAGGTCTGGGCTGGGTGTGTAGGGGCTACAAAATTGGCTTACAGAATGTGGCATGCACATGAGTGAGTAGCAATGGGGGGCCATGATATGTTCAGGGAGGAGACAGCGTGTCAGAAAGCATCACTTCTGGTCAGTGAGCGATTCCTTTCATTTGAGTCTTTGGCAAAGGGTGGCTGGGTTCGGGGTGACTTACACCATGATACATATTTTATAAAATTTGAAGTAATTAATTTTAATCACAAACAGTGTAGGGCTGTGGTTTCCCTCAGCAACAGAAGCTTGACTCTGCTCTATGAAGGGACTAAACTCAGGAGATGCAGCTGGGGTTTTGAGTTGGCCCCATGCATTTTGCTCCCGCGATTTGGCAAAAGATTAGCAGCTCACTCTCAAACACTGGCCTCTTTTCTTGTCTCACACAATGGGAGCCTTCATTTTTCTTCCAAAAGGCTTATTCACAATCCACACCCTTTTATGGATGCTTCCTACAGAAAGTCACCCAGAGCCACACAGGCTTCCAGTTTGTCTGAGTTCCTGCTGAGAGGCAACAATTGAATGACAACAAGGATGCCAGCCCAGGTCGTGAGTGAGATTTCAATGTTATCAACCGGCTCATCTCATTGGCAGGATAGGAAAATACAATCGGTCTAAGTTTAGGATGGACACTCCGGCTTTTCATACACCGTCCTGAGCGTCCCCTGGTTTCACCTCCACATTTTGAACCTGAGGTTATGAGGAAGAGAGAAATATACTTCTTATCTTTATACTTTAAAATCTTGCAAGTTGAAATGAAATATCACATTTAAAACTCTTGGAGCTTTAAAATTATTCAGAGGAGTGCATTTAAATGAGCTTGGCAATGAAACATGAAATATTTAGTTCCCTGATGCAGGCAAGCAGGCTCTCCTTTATTGTTTGGGGGCCATCCTGTGAGAACTCATTCCTGTGAATAGCTCACCCCCCCAGACGGCTGTTTGCCTTAATATTTTCCAATAATTATGTAATTAGTTCATCACCTCTCCCACACACAGCATTTCCCTCCTAGCTACTTGCTTTGTTTACCGTGGGGACCTTCTGAAGCTTGTGTATAGAATTATTAAGAGGGACCACTTATTGCTTCTCCTGCAGCGTCTTTCTGAACTCTGAACACTTTTATTCTCAACAACATGACGACACCTTGAGGCCACCATGGTGCTTAGCCGTTACTGATCCTGGGCTTGGCTTACCATGGGGTTCACTCTTCACTGCCAGTTTTGATTTCTGAGCCTGTGTATTTATTTCATATTGGAAGTCAGTTCTGAAGGTACGCTCAGGTATGGACAGTCTGCCAGCGTCAGGAGGGTCTGCTATGGAGCCGGTGCAGATCTGAGAGAAGGAAAATGCTGGCTTCTTTTGGAGGGATGATGGGAGAAATGAAGAAAAAGCCCTAAAATCTTCAGCTAAAATAGATGGCAATGATTTTTGTATGGTTATTTTTTAATGTGCTTAGGCCCAGTGAAGTTGAGAAGGAGGACAGCCATGGGAAGAGGAGGAGACGAGAGAAGAATCCTGCGATCCACAGGAGTTTACTATGAACAAAATACTAGTGCCTGAACAAATGAGTGTAGACTGAATGCTGTGTCCTACTGTGCAAGGGTTGTACGGACTCTCAGACTCACAGAGGAAAAGAATATGGGCATCATCGCAGCTACCAAATTCATCAGTGGGAACATCAGGTAGCACCTGATGGCACAGCCTGGGAACCTCTCCCACAGCCTTCAGATGGAATCTTCCCCCACATCCTTAGCTTTGGGTAGTAAACCACAGTTACCTGCTAAGTTCATACATCCTAAAACTTTACCTAAGCGTCACAGAGGCATTAGGTGAGAGGCAGAGGTCAGTGATGAATGGTATGCAGACAATTAAAGACAGCTCGAGATAATCTTGGTTCTTTATTTGTAACATCCAACTCTACAATATGAAGTTCTGATCAGCCTTCAGGATCTCGATCTCTGATACGGTCCTTTCAGGGTTCTTTGTTCACAGTGCTAACTCGGAGTGATGAGAGGGTAAGGATACTCTCCCTCTGAATGACAGAAGGGCCCCCCTTACAGTTCCCACAGTGAGAGCTGCAGGCGCCATACAAATGGGTCCCCCACCAAGACACGTACAGCAAACTACTTAGAATGCAATTATAAAAATTTGTAAAGGGAATCAGCAAGAAAAATCCTCATCAGCACCCTAGCATTTCCCCCACGTTCAGGAAGCCAGATGAGAGAAATACTGAGTGGAAGAAAAAAAAAAAAAAAAACAGAAATGAGGTTTAGATTAACTAAAGCAAGAATTTGGCAATAATCAAAACTGTTCTAAAATCATGACATTTGTCCTGCAAATAGCAAATTGACCATGATTTAAGGTATCAGCATATAATCATTTACTTGGTTCATTTTGGGATAAATGTGGGTGTTGGCTATATTATTACACAAAATTACCTAAAAATTGAGTTCTAGTACTCAACCCATGGTTCCAAGTTTTTTTCCCTTCTCTGTATTTTTTTTTTTGAAAATTGCTGACACAGACACCGTCTTCTCTGATCCTGCAAAGCTGTGTCAGAGTGGTTTTTCCTTTCACTTTATAGCACCAACATGTATCGTTTGTGGTTTTAATTTGCATCAATGAGAAAAACTGCATTTAATACCAACAATTGCTGAAAATGCAGATGTGACAATGTTTCCAACTTTCAATTTCCAAGCGCTAGCAGGTAATATTAACATATTCCTTAGCAGCTGAGTATGTCTTGGTTTACACATAAATGTATGGCTTACATACATATATGTATGACTTACATATGTATATATACGTATATATGTTTGTAAGACACACAGAGGAGAGAGAGAGCATGCTTAAGATCCAAATAGGCCCAAGACAAGAATAGTAAAGCAATTACAGAAGGAAGGTACAGGAAAATTCTAGTGCAGTGGCCAGAACAAAGCATGTGTTAAATGAATATATAATTATCAATTCAACTTAATTTGATTATGGCCTCCTGGTAGAAGATCGTAAACTCTCTAAACTTAAGATTTATATTCATAGATGGCTTTTTCTTTTCTTTGAGATGTCCCTTTGCCTTCCAAGGTTGTTTAGAAGTGTGTCTTTGATCACTCAGTGTTTGCAGATGTTAGATTTGGTCTTTCTATCGTGGATCTTTCCTGTAGTTGGAGAACATCCTGCCTGTGACTCTGGTTTGTAAGGCAGACTATGAGACACTGTGCTGACTGCCTGTGGAGGATTGAGAAGAGCCTGCTGTCTGTGTTGAGTGGGCCTTGCCAACTGGAGCCTTGGGGTTGCCTTTTTTTTTTTTTAAGACTTTAAAAGCTCTTCTCTTATTCTACTTTAAAATACCTCAGACTGTTTACATTTCAGAATTAATGTTGGCTTTATATCCTACATATAAGTCTGAAATCATTTGAATTATATTGTCAGTTCACATACAGTCTTCTCTTGTTTCCAAATACTTTAATGACTGCTTCAAGGATCCATTGTTGTGAACAAGAGGTTCTATTGTAAAATAAACATAAGGCTAGGCAGTTAGTGGCCTTATTCATGATGAGCCACCAAGTTGAAATCCATCAATGGCTACTTGTCTATTTTTGTGCTGGTCAATGTAATACTAGCCCCAGCCTACTGCTTTAGAAGAAACATCCTTTAAGCCTGTCTCATGGACATCTAGACATAGCACCTATGGCATTCTTTGTGTTCTGAGGAAAGGAACATGGAAATGTGACCTTGAAGGGCAAAGGAGCAGTACTGGTGTCTACCTGGGTGAAGGAAGCTGGGATCTTCTGCCCATCACTGTTGCCTAACAGCAAAAGCTGGGTGTGTTTGATTGACATAGAGGCAGATCATGTTGGGTCACCTCTGGGAGCAGTGCAGTCACGCAGGGCCATACCTACCTTTAGCTCCAGAAAAATAACAATATCTATCTGTCTGTTGTAGTGTAAGTGTCTCCAGTCCCACCCAGCCCTGCGGTCCTGCAGCCACTTATAAAATAATCATTCAGAGGCTTAATATTAATTACAAACTGTATGGCCTATGGCAGGCTTCTTGCTAGCTAGCTCTTTCATCTTAAATTAACCCATTTCTATTAATCTATGTTTTGCCACATGACCATGGTGTTACCTGTCTGCTGGCATCTTGCTGCTCCTTGGGCAGCAGCTAGGTGTCTCTCCCTCCTCTCCTTTCTTCTCTCTGTATCTCTGCCTGGATTTCCCGCCTGCCTTAAGCTGCCTTGCCATAGGCCAGAACAGCTTTATTTATTAGCCAGTGGAAGCAACACATATTCACAGCATACAGAAAGACATCCCATAGCTGTCTGTCTGTCTGTCTGTCTGTCTGTCTATCTATCTATCTATCTATCTATCTATCTATCTATCTATCTATTATCTGCCTCTCGAAGCTGCCCTTCCTTTGCAGGTATTCCGTAGACCAAGAGTCAAAAAATAAGTTATATATTACTCCCCATTTCTTTTGTTAAAAGGAGTAAAACTATTGCTCAAGTCTCTCAGACTCAGGCCCTCCAGATACCGGTGCTTGTGTGGTGCTTCTGTGTGTTGAAAGCACCTGCTGCAATCACTGTGGACTCATTAGCCACCAGTTAGCCACTCATTAGCCACAGAATGACAAAGAGAAATGTATCCTGAGAAGCCACAGCATAGTTAGAACCATACCTTGTCACATTCATGGTCATTCATGTCATTTGGCTGGGTGACCCTGCCTCTAGTTGCAGGTTTTCTGTTTGGCTGTAGCTGTGATGGCCCAGTTTTTGTGTCCTGTGTTTGTTTTTAGAAAAGAATGGACATGCATCAGCTTTCTGTGGCAGACTTCCCCATAGCAGATAATGAGGAAATGATAAAGCAGTCTGTGCAGCTTATTTGCGTACACTGCTCATATCACACCTGTTGACAGTTCATCAGCCAAAGTGAGCGGTAGGCCCAAACTCTACTTCATGGGGGACTGAGACTCCCTCAGGGGCAGTGGGGTATGGGCAGTGAATGTCTGCTCCCCAGCAGTCTAAGCTCCTATGGAGGTCCCTGGCCCCCCTCTCATGTTTAATACATGCATGGGCTATAATGTCCTGGATGCAAATAGGGAGATATGATATTTAATTAGAGAGATGAGTGCAATTAACATTCTTCTTGTGATTAATATTGATTTAAAGCAGAGACAACAAATTCAAGATAAATGACTAGCGAATTAATGACAACAGTTAGGAAGAGAATTAAGATGCTAACAATGTTCTTTCAAGATCAGCACATGGGCCACTCTGGCCAGTCTGGTTCTCTCTTTGGTTAAATTGTCTTTTATTAATTCACTGGGATTGGATTAGTCAAACATAGCACAGCATAATGATATAGCAATAAAATGCCTTTCCTATCAAACTTAGGCACCAATAGCCTGTCCTTTTCCAGAATATCATTCAACTTCTTTCTTTCATATTTAAATGCTTTTACTCTTTTTTTAAAAAAAAAAACTGAATATATTCCTGATGTGTTTAGTATTTGATTGAGTTCATTGCCTGAGGGAAAAAGATTATGAAAATAACACCTAGGTTGTAACATTTTAAATGGCGGCATGCAATTAATGTTTTCCATAAAACGTAACATGTGGATGATCAGGGTAGCGGAGAGACAGCTTGTAGAAGTCAGTTCCTTATTTCTATCAAGTGGGTCCTGAATTCAACTCATCAGGATTGGTGGCAGGAACCTTTACTCAACAGGACATTTTGCCAAGCATCACTTAGTGATTTTTAAGCCCAGAAGATGATATTTGCATTTGAAAATGCAACTGGAGATAGTTGCACAGAGGAAATATCTTGTAAGAAAATCTGTCAAATGAGTGAACTCAGACTATAGAAGTCACAATTGAAGTAGAAAGTCAACTTGCGCTATGTATCCTGACAATTTTTGTAAGTGTGGTTGCCTTTATAGACATCTCATGTGATTAAGAACACATAGGAGCTGAAAGATGAACAAAAATGGGTCATTAGTCAATTCTCCTGCCTCCGTCTCTCCATGCTGGGATGATAGGCATTGATCACCACACCTGGCCAAGTTTCAGTTTCTAATTACATAAGCTGTTTATTGTGCACAAGTGTGTGCATTCGTGGTATGCATGTAAGGCAAGAGCACAACTTGGGGAAACTGGCTTTCTTCCATTGCATGGGTCCCAGGGATCCAACTCAGGCCATCAGGCATGGCAGCAAACCCTTCAAAATTAAGCACTCCCTTTATTCTCACAAGTTTTTATTATTTTCACATCATATATACATATATCATGTAATAATGCTCCATCATTATTTATTCATCATCAACTTTTTGCACATTAGATTTTTCTAGTGCCTTTGTCCAGTGGGAAGGGGCAGTATAGACACAGCTCGATTCTGTACTCTCTTCTGTTGCCTTGGCAAAATCAAATGGTTTTGATTATTTTCAGAGTAACTCTTAAATCCATAAGTATAATTCTTCCAAGTTTATTTATCATCAGAATTTCTACAGGTAGCCTATCTTGTCTCCTCACAATATAATTTAGTCTTGGAGCTGAATAGCATCTTCAAAATACTGGGTTTGAGTCAATTCTTTAGAATATGTTAGGTAATGAGCTGCTAAGTGAGAAGGGAAGACTGA